ATCTGTCAGTGGCTCTTGCAGTTTGGGATGAAGTTGTGCAAAGTCTGCTGTGAAAGGATTTAGCACCCAAGTGGGCACTTCCAGATTTATCAGATCATAGAATCTGGTTTCCATATCTTCTTTTAGTTGCTTCAAGTGGCAGCAAAAAACATCCAAATCTTCTCCTTGGAGTTCATGTTCATTACCAAGGCTTGGGAACCGATACAGCTCCTGGCGACTCATATTGTTTGCAAGGAGGTCCAATTTGGAAATAAATGAGCTGATTACTCCCTTAGCCTTAAGAAAATTGATTTTATCTCCTTGCAGTTTTACGTTCACTTCATTCAGCTTGTCAAAAACATCAGCGAGATAAGCTACATCCAGACGTCGAAGTTTAAGAGAACTGCTTAGACTTGGGTCAGCGGATTCAAGAAATTCTACAACTGTGTCAAAAAGTTCATGGAATCGCCGCAAACACTTTCCTTTTGAAAGCCATCTTACTTCGGTGTGCAAAAGGAGACGTTCAAACTCCGCATCACTTTCTTCACAAAGCTTGTGAAAAAGTCGGTTGTTCAAGGCATTTGACTTAATTTTATTCACAGCATTAATAACGTAACGTTCCTCCTCTTCTTTTCCCTTGACACTGTTTCTTTTGTTGTATGTAAAGAAAAATGTCTTTATATACACAGTATTTACTTATTTTTGCTTTATCCAAACATGTTTTCTAATTATTCCAACTCATGATAAATAATGAATCAGTCAGAGAGATGGAGTGCTACTTCTTATTCTCCTGCTTTTATTACCATATTCTTAACCCTCTTACTTTCCTCCCAATTTTTATAATTTTATTAATTATTTTGATTATAATAGTAAAATCAAATAAAAACAAAACTTAAGAGAATGTGAAGTTTAAAAATGCATGAAAAACAAGAACAAAGAGAAAACTAATATAATAAAGAAATGAAATATACTTCTAAACTTCATCACAATAAGTATAAAGATAGTCTTTGATCTACAACCAGAATTGCCACCATTGCAGCACCCCTGTGGTCATGTGATCATAATCTGGGTACCTGGCAACCAGTCCACATTTATAACTGATTGCAGTGTCCTTGTAAGGACCTACTTCAATCCCACATCTTAAGAAAGCAGAACTCTTGGAGAGTTTCCATCAACAGGAACTTTTATTAAAAGTAGTTGATAGCAGGCATAATAGACAGGATCTGAGGGATTCCTTTACAGATCGATACTTTAAAGTGTCCCCAAGCAAACCCTACCCCACAGTTCATCCAGATGGCTCAGACCAGCCAATCCCCAGGTGTTAAGTCCATCATGGGAAAGGGGAGATAACATCGGTCCGGCTCCGGTCGTAGCACGATGTTCAAGTAGCTCTTCGCACCTCCTTTTGAGACCGGAGAAATAAGCCACGCTCTGGAGGTTGTATTTCTTTCTCCCACCCTTTTCCTAGCTGACAGGTTAGGGCAGTGATGGTGAACCTTTTAGAGACTGAGTGCCCAAACTGCAACCCAAAACCCACTTATGCATCGTCGAGTGCCGGGTGGGTATGGCCCATTGGGTGGGCATGGCCCATTGGGTGGGCATGGCTGCAGTGGTAACGGCAGACTTGGTGGGACTAAAAAGTTCAGTCAATCAATTCCAACTTTGCAAGACCTTTTTTTTTCCGCGAGAAGTTGAAATTGACTGATTGAACCTTTTTTTTTTTTTGGTACATGGCAGTGGAGCCCTAAAGCGAAAAGATTTTATAAAACCCAGCTGAAGGCCTAGGACTGGGGCAACGGCGCGCGTGCCCATAGAGAGGGCTCTGAGTGCCGCTTCTGGCACCCGTGCCATAGGTTCGCCACCACTGGGTTAGGGAGAAGAAAGTTCAGAGAGAGATGCAGTGTAGGAAGCAAATTGTTACATTGTAGCGGGCAGTGGACAGAGGCAATAACAAAGTAAAAGGTTACATTGTAGCAAATAGAAAGCAATAACCCCGCAGGCATATCCCCCCTCCCCCTTGGGAGTATGGCAGAACCCAGGGAAAAGTGAGGTTTGTTTTTAGATCAGAGATAGATAGAAATGAAATAGAAATGGGTTCTGACAGCCCCACTATCCCATAACTGCCATTTGAAATTTCCCCTGCTGCTTTCCCAAGAAAATCAGTGGGGAAGTCAGCAGGGAACATTGTGAGTCACTGTGATAAGTCTCTCCCATCTGCACAACCTCCCTCAGGCCCTTTATGCCCTTTATGTTCAGACCACACTGGCCACTCCCACTGTACCCTCATGCACTTTATTTGACCTGTGCCACACTCCATGAACTGATTTGCACCCCCACAATTCCTCCTCGACCCATGCCATGCTTTTTGTGTACTACATACACTTCCCAACCCATGCTATATCCTCATGCACCCTTCCTGCACTTCTTTTGCACTGTCTTTGCACTCTGCCTCACTTTCATATACCTTCCAAGATTTACATCATCCCTTTCACCCACCCTCACAATACCCTTTCACTCCACAAACCAGCAGAATCCCGACACACACACCTGCCTATCTGGGACTTGCAACTTCCTGCTGACTTTTCACTTTTCCACCGTTTGTGGGATAGCTTAGCCATTGCTAAGCAACACATTTCCACTGACTTTGGTCCTGTGAAACTGGTAAGAAATTGCCTCACCTAATAGTAGAATTCTGTTTATGATGGCAACAGGGACTGCAGGGATTGCTGTCACTAAGTATGTGGTAGCGCTTTTTAATGGCATTCCTTAGCAATGGAAATTCCAGTCCTAATTGCCATCATAAGTCAAAGACTAGCTGTATTTCTGTTTGAAAAGAAATTGTTCCAAACACCTTGAAACAGATCTGCACAGCATCTCATTAAATTGGGCCAACCCCCAAGATATTTAATAATTATAACTAACATATGAGATAACCCTTCTTCAAATAATATACATAATCAAATAGTGGCATTTCCACTAGAGCAGGGCTTTTCAACCAGTGGTACGGGTACCACCTGTGGTACATTGGCACCTGGCAGGAGATATGCGACCATCCTAGAAAAGTAGCGGGGTAGGGGAATGAGCTGAACCAGTGGCAGCAACACACAAGCCTGAGCGAGAGATGGCTGGAGCTGCAGGGCTGTCAGGGCTCAGCGGAAGCGCCACTTTCCAGATGATCGGCGCTTCTTCGGGGCTGTCAGGGCTCAGTGGAAGCGCCAGGATCAGCGCCAGGCTCCATCTGGAGCTCGGTGCTGATCCTGGTGCTTCTGCTGAGCCCTGAAGAAGCACCAATCAGTTGGAATGTTGCAGCATCTCCAGGGTCTTATGATTTACATTCAGATGCTTGGCAACTGATTCATATTTATGACGGTCACAGTGTCCCAGGGTCATGTGAAGTTACCAAAACCTGCTGCAACCACCCAGCAGACGGGGGGAATAAAAACCAAACACCCCCCCACCCCACTCCTGCTGCCAATCCTCCACAGAAATGCTCACAACAATGAAAACCTCAGACAGGAGGAAGAGCGCCACCGGGCGGGCAGGCAGGTGTCTTGCTCAGCTGTGGCTTGGGGGGCACTTTTTTCAGTGCCATTGTAACTTCGAACAGTCACTAAGTGAACTGTTGAAAGTCGAGGACTACCTGTACTTTATCACTTTTTTCCTTTTTTTTTGTCATCAAGTTTTTGACACCTTGCTAGGCGACTGGTGGTACTCAGATGTTGCCATATCCTAAAAGTGGTACAATGGGTGAAAAGGTTGAAAAGCCCTGCACTAGAGGGACTTCAACTGAAAAACATAATACATTTTAATGAAATTTTCAACCACCTTTCAGTAAAGAACTTATAAAAGTTGTTTTACTGGTAGTGCTAATTTTTTCTGATCTCTCAAGAGAACCTTCTGGATAAGTCTAAATGGGTGGCAAGTATAATGACTTTGCTCTGATCTGTAGAGTGTGTTTCAGAAGAAGTACTGGAGAATTCTGTTCAAAGTCCAAAAACTTATGTTCTGATGTTCCTGAAGTGTGTATTTATCACCCATGCTTTTAAATATGTAAAAGTACAAAACAATTTTGATATCCAAACTAACTCCCTGTTCTACCAAAGTACTAGAAAGAAAGTTGACTTTTTTATTCTAACAATTAATATTCCATGTTTGTGATAAATGTTTGCTTTAGCACATAAAGTATTAGTGTCTTTAGTGTCTTTAAGAAACCTGCCTTGTCAATTGGCAAACACCCAACTTAGATTTGCAGGTAATCAGAATTCCTTACATCCATTTGTCACTTTTGGTTCATAATATCCTGTAACAGTTCTGATACATTTATTCTAATAAAACATTCTGGCTGCTGTAAACTTTTATTCCTTTTATTCCAGATACTTAAAATCCAGAGAATAGACATCACATAATTTGTTTTCAGGACATATAATTTTTCCACAATTTTTTGGTTTTAGAAAAAGATTGAATTTTTTTTAAAACCTTACCTGAATGATTTTGAGAACTCATTGCTAGCAGAATCTAATCTCTTTAACGAAGTATGACAATGGCTGGCTTCCACATAGACAATAATCTTGAAGAGCTTCAGTATTCCAGAACATAAAAAGTATATCCAGGAAGCAGATTCATACTTATTAGATAAACTTTCAGTCAGAAAAACATCTTATTATGTAAAGTAATGCAATCCAGAAGAATAGTAGCTTGTATACCTGTAAATGTATACCTGTAAAAAAAAAGTACACCTGTAAAAAAAAGTCTTATACATTTGAATGCTTACACAAAGAAAGATTCGTATTTAAGAAGGAATGCCACCATAGATAAAGTATAAAGATAATACCGGTAATCAGATAGAAAGTACTTGCATCCCTCCCTATACATTCTACTTTTCTTTTTCTCTTGGTCTTTCAGAACATGCCATGCTTTAATTACTCTCCCTCAATAAGAAAGAGCAGCATTGGAAAGGCCTGTCACTAGCCAGTACTTTCTTTCAATGGGGTATTTTTTTGTATCTCGGTTATTCTTCCTGTTCAAAACAAAACAAATTATAGTTAAGTGCCTAGCCTTCCTTAATTTGTGACGTTCAGACACTATTATCAATAGTCACAAAGATGCAAAATGAAAGAAAATGATTTTTTTAAAGTAATATTTTGAAGAAAAGGGATTTGTCCTGGAAAATAAACAAGTTATTTTATTTTATAATATAGTTATTTCTCTATTATTTGAAATAATTATATGATATTGTATTGTATTGTATTATACTCCATGAACTGTTCGTATATATTAATACTGTTGTAGAGCAATATGCTTTTTTCCCTTTTTTGTAAAGATATTTTTATACAGTGAATGACATGAAGCAATAAAGCACATTTTCTCACATTGGTGTTGACTGCTCTATTTGGTAATGGTCTCAAGAACTTATCTTGTAAAAACAATATATGCAGATTTCTTTTAATTGCTGATTGTCTGTCTTAAGGCGGTAGTGTCAACCAACCTTGGTTGATCTTGGAGACATCAGGCTAAATTGAGAAAAACTTTTAAAAAATGTAACAAGATGGTGATCAATCACTTTTGCATTGTTGCCAAGAAAAATCAAGGATGAGATTGTGAAATCCGAAGGTAATGAATCAACTGAAAGAATACTTCTTAAAATGTCCACATCACAGGGATGTTTGTATGGTAATTACCTTAGTATGTACTCTGTGGAAGAGCAATACACAATGGCACAGTGTAACTAATTATTTAGTTGATGTGTATGTGCTGTATTTCATTCTTACAACATACTGCCATAACATTGTGCCAGTAATTAATGTTAAGTAAATCCTAAAGTAACTTTTGTTTTTTTTCTAGGACAAATCCATTTTCTTCGAAATATTACTTTAGAAAAACCATTTTCTTTAATTTGGTATCTTGGTGACTAATGATTATTAAATATATTTTATCAGAATGGAAATAGGTGCCTCTTCTGTATTTGCTTTATTAGAATTTTAAAAAGGAAAATTAAGTTTCATGAAGATCACCTGTTTTCACTTGATGTCTTGCAATACACAGCTTTAACTACTTTCTCATTTTAGGAATATCTGTAATTTTTGTAACCTGTTAGTTCAGACATTATTTATATTTTCATCTTTTTTCCATCTTTCATTACCTCTAAAACTATTCAGTGTGGTATAGCAGTTTAAAGTGCTAGACTAGGCCAGGGAAATCCTGTGCAAATGCAGATATAAAAATTCCCTGTTTACTCTGGGCTACTCATTTTATTTCAGTCCAATGTACAGAACTTTACAGGAAAGGAATAAAATACTATCTTGAGTTCCTAAAAGAAAGGCAGAAAAGAAATCAAATAAATTACCACTATACTCCCTCATTCTCCTCACAATAATTAGCATAATTGTATAATCTGCAAATCTTCATTCCCATCCTGGTCTGCTATTTTTTTCCTTTGCATTCTGCTTTTTTTGGCTCATTCTCTATTATATATTTCTTTCTGGGCTTTTGCCAGCCCTTTCCCTTTGTTCTAATTTAATGCCCCCCTATCAGCCCTTCATAGGCATATCAGGGATTCCAGGGATTTTCTTTATTGTAATAAGGAAGAATAGCAAAATCTTGAAATCCTGTCCAAGTTTCCCTGTGCCTAAACAATATCAAGATGGAGATTGTTTTTCTCAAAACTTTCCCTTTATCCCAGGACTGTCTAATCTTTTTTCAAAGCCTCTCCTTAAAGACTCATTCTCTCTTTGCCTCTTAACAGCAATCTTATGCCTTCCACAAGGTTAATTTCATAAGCCTTTACACACATGCTTTTATCAGAATCAACCCCTCATCCCATATATGAAGACAGGTCCAGCATTTTATTAAGGACAATGGCAGAGAATCACTTCTTATATGATGTTGTTTTCCTGGCCAAATTGTCAAAAATGAGCTAAATCTTAGCATGATGTTAAACTAATTAACTAACAATGGGTCACTGCCCTCAATGAGGGGCAAAAGATCAAAAATCACCTTAGTGCAATCTGGAGTAAATTCTGCTGGCAGAGCTCACACATACAATTCACACTGAGTTATGAAAATCCAAAATTGATCTTGGGCTTTTTCAAACTTCTCTGGCATACTCTCACAAGAGTACAAAAACACTGGATGAACTGCATGTTGTTGTTTTGCTGCACTGAGACAAGTCTAATTGCTGTATTAGTTGTATTATAGCATGTACAGGTTCATTATTTGTACATTCACTGGTTGATGTTTCAATAATGTAGCAATTTGGGGCTTCCAGTGGGGAAATAGCAAGTTGAAGGAGCTCTTTTTTGTCTCTGAGATCAAGTTCACAGATGGTTAAGGCTCAGGCATGTTCCTTGGAGCCTGAAGAATAACCCAGATCAAGGAAAATTTGTGAAACTGACTAGACAACTTCTGGACAGCCAATGCTTGCAGTAAAGTCATGAAATGAAGAATTTTGTGACTGACTGCTTGCTAAATGACTGGTTGGGAGATGGGATGACTAACAGTTCACTGCTGCAATGCAACCCAAATGTATTTAAACACTAGAACTGATCTGCTAATATACCTTTACATTTTTTTACATTTATGAGAGGCTTTCTTTGGCTACAGAATGATTTTCTCTTGGAACCTTTCAATATTTTTGAAACTATCTTTGTTTTTGTGTATAATTAATTTGTTTATATAGAATAGAATACAACTGGAAGGGACCTTGGGGGTCTTCTAGTCCATCCCCCTGCTCAAGCATGAGAACCTATACCATTTCAGACAAGTGACAGTCTAGTCTCTTCTTAAAAACCTCCAATTGGTGGAGTTGATATAAAGCAGAAAGTCAAAAGTATGGACTTCAGACTGCTTTCTTTGGGACTAAGCTGTTAACATTATATTGAGATTTTTTTTCCTCTGCTGATTTGACTGGATTTCTAAATAACTATAACTTAATACATCAGGTGGACTTTGCTTTTACTTATATATTTATGGTTACACTTTTACTTTTTTTCCATTAGAGTGTTATCTGGTAGCCGATAATAAAGGTTGTTTTGCTGAAAAGGAGGAGGAAGAGAAGGAAGAGGAGGGGGAGGGGGGAGAAGGGCTACAAGAACAGCTTAAAGGGGATAGTCTGGAGATAGTGTCATTAAAGCAATACTGAAGAATTTACTACAAACGTTGCGCAAATAATACACTCTATGGAAAATAAATCTGAACGCTGGAAAAAAAATTGCCAGTGAACTACGAAAGCCTATTGTAGAAGTTAAACAAGTGAATGATAGAATGGATCTTGTTGAAAATAGAATGGAGGCTAACATTGATTGGCTCAGAGAAAAGAGTTTTGCCTAACATTCCAAGGGATTCCTGAACATGCTGATAAGGATATAAAACGGTCAAGCACTATCAAAATTAGACTGGGATGAAAAAAGAATGGGAACTGAAACTATCAAAATGTACATTAATTCATCTTATGCATTATAAAAGAAAATTCCAAAAGATGTCAGCTGCCACCTTGTGCTTGCTTGTGCCTCACTATTATGCAGTGACAGACTGCCATAAATTGTGGGGAGGAGGGATACTTGGGGAGAAACCGAAAGTAGAAGTTGCCATGAGATGCTGCTCCAAGGTCACCCAACTGCAAGAAGGGGTAGCCGCATATCAACCTGGACTCAGACTGGCTGTTGTAGAAACACCTTGCAAGAATTTGATTGATGGGCAGCGAGAGGCAGACAACAGGGGGGAGCAGAATGTAATGATTTTGACATGCAAATCTCAGTTCTGCCTTTGCACTATTGTAATTCACTTGACCTATTAAACTATATTTTTCTCAACAGATGGAGTTAAAGATCATTCTTACTTAGAGGGTCAAGCTAAGATAGGTCTGATATTAAGCCATCATTTTTTAATCCATTCAGAGGATTAACCTACTATGGGGAATTTGTAATTTTTAAAACCATAGCTAGCTCTGGCAAAGACCAAGTGGAGCTGGAAGCCAGGAAGGTTTCACAATGGGACTAGAGGGAAGCCATGAGAGCCCTGACCTGGGAGAGGAGCCAAAAACTCTACCAGCCCGAAGGAGGAACCAGTAAGTCACTGTATAACCCAGTGCCCATCCTGAGACAGCCACAGGGAATCCTGCGCTGCTGCCCCCATCCCCCAAGAGATGGAAGGAACCTCCATCGGGAAGTCGGAGGAGCCACCAGTAGGGATGTCCATCACTAGAGGGATTGGAGCCAAGCCATACCAATAGGGGGAGGGAGCAGTACAACCTATGACAACCCCAGAAGAGAGCTCCTGAGGTATCCATGGACGAGAGGATTGAACTCATCGAAGAAATGTGAAGGGAACTCATAGCCCATCTCCCTCTAGAACAGCCTGCTCCTGCACAGGCACAGGCACCAGCGCCAGTGATCCAGCTGGTCACCCCACCACCCCCTGTCCCTGCAGGGCCAGAGAGGCAAGATTACCATAGGATCCCAGAGCTGAAAGTGAGATTTGGCGGAGATGAAGAGCAGTTGGGGTACATCCTCACTCAACTTTGGAACTTCATGGCACACCATGGCCAGAACTTCCCAGACAACGAAACCAAGGTGAACTGCGTTATCATGGCCCTGGAGGAAGAAGTAGCCAACAAGGTGGTCTTGCTCCACATGTTGAAAGTAGCTTCCTCTTTGTTGAGAAAGTAGAGAGTGGGCGTGGCTAGCGTTGCAACAACATGACAATCTTTCACGGGGCTCCGTG